TTTTTTTTTTTATTTTATTATTATTATTATTATTATTATTATTACCTAGTATAAAAGCTAAATATATTAACTAATATATTTATAGGTAAATAAGGGCTATAACTTATATTTATTAATATATTATATACCTAAATTATTTTAATAATAGTTTATATAATTACTGCTAAAGTAGCCTAGTATAATAATATACTTTATAAATAATTTATGGCCTTGGGCGTAATACCTATAAATTAAATTATTTTTAATAAGTATATTAATATACTATTTAATAATAGCTTCTTGGTTAACAGGGCGGGTTATAATTTTTTTTATTATATTAATTTTATTAATAAGCTTATAAAGCGCGAGCTTGCGCTATAAATAATATAATTATTTATAAAATTTTTTTAAAACTACTAATTTATAACTTAAATAATTTATTATATTAGTAATATAAGCCGCCAGCGGCCAGGTTAGTAAAAAAGTAGGTAAGTAAATAAAAAAGGTGGTATTATTATTACCTTTAATATTAGCTATTATAATAAAAAAAATTTAAAAAATTAAAGGTTTATAAATTATAGGTTTATATAGGCAGGCTATATATTACTTATATAATTTATTTTTTTATTATTTTTTAAATACCTTTATTAAATTTACTATTATTACAGTTATTAAAAAAAGTATTATTATTTAAAATAAGCTATTAATAAAAGTATTAAATATTAAACAGGCCATTAATAGTAATATTTTTAATATTTTAGGCAGGATAAACTTTGTTCCGGCCTCGCGCATTACTCCCGGTATTAAAGCTTGCGCCCTAGAAATGACGGGACCTACGTTGATAAAGCGGACCTTTTCCCTCCACGTCAGACCAGTTGCATTTCCTCCCTTTCAGTTAGCTCCCCCAGTTCCCCAGCACGAGCTTATTGATGAAGAGGCCTGCCCGGCTTACGACCCGAAATACGTTTACCCCGCGAAGCCAGGAGAGATCCTTGCCAATCACTATCAACTATTGGTGAAGATCGGCTGGGGAACACGTTCAACCACATGGCTGGCGAAGGATATTAAAAGGTCAGCACCCCCTGCAGTCATCCTCCACCCGCTGACGGACGGATACTCAAACTAGATATATTTGGCAGCCCGACCGTTTCGTAGCACTGAAGATAATAAATAACCGCAGTTCTCTCGAGGCTTACCATGAGCGCGACATCGAGGAGCACATTTCCCAACAAAGCCCAGTACACCGCGGTCGTGGTATCATTCGAACCTGCCTGGATAGCTTCGAGGTGGCAGGTCCAGATGGGAGCCATCTGTGTCTAGCATATGAACCCATGCGGGAGCCCCTTTGGATTCTCCAAAAACGTTTCGTTGACCGAAGGCTGCCTCTCCCGATTGCGAAGGCATACCTTCTTATTCTTCTTGCCGGTCTTGACTACCTCCACACAGAATGCAGGGTTGTGCATACTGGCAAGTCATTTGTCTTCAGTCCCTCCTCTTAAAATGACACCTCTTTCTTTGTGCATTGCTGATATCTCCTTCCTGCTAGACTTGAAGCTCGACAATATTTTGATGACGTTCGAGAACGAAGACATTCTCCCCAACTTCAATAAGGACCAGACCACCAGCCGGCCTATGCAGTGCAAGACTAATCCGACGAGCGGACGTACCGTCTACCGTTGCCATAATGACTTTGGGTCCCTCGATTGGCGAGAGCTTCGGAAAATGTTGCCAAAGATTGTTGACTTTGGGTTAGCAACTCGCCTTGAGAGTGATAGCCAAGGGCGAGTGAGGAACGAAACAGCTGGTTTTCATCCCATACAGCCGGACCAGTACCGTGCACCCGAAGTCATTCTTGGCTGCCCTTGGAGCTTTAGCGCGGATATATGGAATATCGGTGTCCTGGTATGAATCACTACTTCCGGCCTCCCTCGTAGCTCTTCACGTCTGCCTCGCACGAAAGTCCAAGCCGACATCTCAGTTTGGGTTCCGTCATCTTCAGGATACTCGTATATTTCGCAACAGCTGACCATTCTGTGACAGGCGTGGAATATAATTGAGAACACCGAACTATTCCACCATGTGCATGACAGCCAAGGCCATTACAATCCCAAGACACATTTAGCGGAAATGATTGCACTACTCGGCCCCCCGCCAAAGGAGTTAGTAGCGAAGTCTGATGCCATGGCAGAGTTTAGGTGGTCTAATCCTATCAAAAATGACACAGGCAGGCTCTGCAGGAACGGGAGAGAGTATTTCAATGGACCGTTCTTCAATGAAAACGGTAAGCAAATGCATCCAGGGATACCTGTGCTTTTCCACTAACCTCCTGGCTTGGGCAGGCGAGTTTCTTCATAATGGTCTAATACCTTCGCGGAAACTTGAAGATTCGATCCTGCACTTGGAACAGAAGGAAAGACAAGCCTTCTTGTCGTTTGTTGCCCTTACACTTGCCTGGCATCCGGGGGATAGGCAAACAGCTGCCGAGTTGATGGAACATCCCTTCCTGAATGGGTGAAATGAAGAGGAGCCCTTCGCATGCTTCGAACGGCCTGCTTTTCCCCAGTTCTGGGAACGGCATTGGATTAGAGTCAGGACGGCCTGGTTGTGACGTCGTAGATTTATATCCTTTCGAAAGACAGGCCTTGAGGCTCGGATGCCTAACGAAACGGTCTCTGCAGTGTTTTGACTACATCTCCTATGTATACTAGTAACTGAAATACGGCTCCCACCTGTCAAGCTATAATAGTAACTCCTCCACTTTCTTAACTTCTACTGGGACAGCAATACCAGACTTCTCTGCCCGGTGATATATCTGTTAGTGTATATGGATGCCAACCGTGGAAGCTCTCCCATTCTCTAGGAATCTGAGTCTAAAGATTGCTTGCAGAGGGCGCTACGACTAATGGGTATAAGAATAATAGAGTATATTAAGTATTTGTTTTAACCCTAACCTTCCTACGCTAAATATTAGTCCCAGCGGCACTTGGTATATATTTACTATTTAGTTGCTAGTTATATTATCTTAATAATATTTTAACTAGTTATCTTCTATTATAGCACGCCGCTTGTTCCTGCCTCGCTTTCGCAGACCTCCTCCAAGCAGTTTAAATCACCAGACACAAGTATCACCCCCTAAGTTGGGATGGTTGGTCAAGTTAAATTACGCCCATGAGTCGATCGAGGGAAAATGTCATGTATATCTACGGACTTTCAACGAGAGCACCGAGATATCAAGTATGCTTGTATCCTGCAAAGAGCCAAGTTCTTTCCCATCACGAAAGGGGTTTTGAGACGCTCGAAAGTCAAGCATAGTGCAGCGAACTAAATTGCTGCTAAGTTATCCTTCACGCCCGGGACAAGGGTTCGTATATCGGTAGGTCTCCAGCCATTATAGTCACCATGCTCGAGCGCGGCGCGGTATTATGTCTCCAATGAGTTTCTACTGTACTACACTTACGTCTTGTTCTCCCCCAGGCCTGTGCTGCCGCATTATATCATAACCCTAACTTATCCATGGCTGGTGTTTGCGGCATAAATCCTCCAACTCCGACATAGACAAGGCTTTGGTTATTAATTTGAAATTCTTGTCAGAGGTATTAGTTGCAGTCGCCTCTAAACCAGAACTAGAACTACTTATTTATATTACGGTTAGCAAGGGCTTAATTATTATATTACTTTTTTTTATTACTATTGCTGCCTTTAAAAAGCAGGTTAATTAAATATAAAATTATTTATATTAAGTAATTTAAAATTTATACTTATTAGTACTTATTAATACTAATATTAATATTAATACTTGTCACACTACTAAGCCTTCGGCCAAACCCACTAGGCCGCTCCGGGCCTAGTGGGTTAGCCATATAATAATAATAACCTTAAAGTAATAATAATTATAAATTTTAATTATATATATTATTTTTAAATAATTATAATTTTATTAATTTTTATTATAATATATTTTAGTAAAAATAAATTAAAGCTCCAGGAAGCGCTTTTTTTTATTATTTTATAAAATTTTTAAAACCCAAGCTAAATATATAAAAAATTATAAATAAATTTTAGGTTAATTATTAATACCTATAAAAATAAATAAAAAAAACTGGGCCTTATATAACGTGTTAAAAATTTAAAAAAATATTTTATTAATATATAAAAAAAGGTTTTATTAACCCATGTTACTTAATATAATAAATTACACGTGTTATTAAACCCTACCTAAATTAAATATATAGTTAATATTATTTTTTAAATAAGCTATATTAAAAAGGGCCTTTTATTATTATTAATTAATAAAATATAGGCGCTACGCTTTATAAAAAAATATTTAAAGTTTTTTAAATTAAATAAATTTTTAAAAAATTAATAAAAAGCTAAGGTAAAGCGCGCTAAAAATATTATATAATAAATAAGGTATTATAAAAACCTTATTAAGGCTAAAAAATTTTAAAATATAAATATTTATAATATAAATAAAACTAGCTTTAAAATAGGGTAAAAAAAGTATATAAAAATTATTTATATATATTATTTTTACTTTATTTTTTTTATAAACTTTATATTATTTTAAGTTTTAATTACTTTTATTAAATATATATTTAAAAATAGCTTTATTCTCCCTTTACTTTTAATACTTTTTAAAAAAGTAAAAATAAAAAATTAATTTAATAAAATAAATATTCCAGGGGGTATAATACTTTTATAATTAAAATTAATAAAACAAGCTATATTAATAAGAAATTAGCCTATTTTTAGGTTTATTATTTTAACCTTTACTTTATTATTTAATAAAAAAAAACCTGGCACCTTTTTTTTAATTAATATATAAGCTATATAATTATTAAATTTACTTAGTTTATAAAAAAATAGTAAATTTTATTACTTTTAATATTACCTTATTTAATTTATATTTTTTAACTACTTAATTTAATCCCTTTTATATAGCTAAAAAAAATTATATAAATATAATTAATAAGCTTTTTTAAATAAGTAAATATAATTATAATTTTTAAAATAATTATAAAAAAAATAAAAAAAAACCGGCCTTAAAAAAAGTAAAAATATTAATATAAATAAAATAATAAAGGTAATTAGGGCTTATAAAAACCTAAAAACCGTTTTAAAAATATTTAATAAAAATAAAGTTATTAAGAACCTTATAAAAATTTAAAAAAATTAGAAATTCATTGTAAGGGCGCCCTAGCACCCAGATATTCTTTACTAATAATAATAAAGCTTGGCAAAGTATCTTTAACTAATAAGAATAAAGTATTCAAAACCTTAATAAATTTAACTAAAAGGATTACTTAAAAAACTAAATATACCATGGCCTTTAGCCCCCTTTATATAAGCCTTATTTAAAGGCCTAAGGCCTTTAAATAATCCCCTAAGTTATTTTTATTTAAAAATTAAATAATATTTAAATATTTTTGTATTCACACCCTTTATAGCTACTTTTTAGCTATTAAAATAATTTAATATAAGGCATGCCTTTAATTTACTACCTAAATAATATTTAAAACCCAAGGTTCCCAAGCTAAGTGTAAGGGCGCCCTAGCACCCAGATGTTCTCTACTAATAATAATAAAGCTTAGTAAAGTATTTTTAACTAATAAGAATAAAGTATTTAAAACCTTAATAAATTTAACTAAAAGAATTACTTAAAAAACTAAATATATTATAACTTTTAGCCTTTTTATATAGGCCTTACCTGGAGGCCTAAGGCCTTTAAGTAATTTTTTAAGCTATTTTTATTTAAAAAATAAGTAATATTTAAATATTTTTATATTTACGCCCCTTATAATTACTTTTTAATTATTAAAATAATTTAATATAAGGCGCGCCTTTATTTTATTACTTAAATAATACCTAAAACCTAAGATTCCTAAGCTAAGGTCCCTGGTTAAAATTAATATTATATTAAACCTAATATTATATTAAATTTAACACTATATTAAGTCTTATATAGTAATTTATGGTAGTAAGGTTTATTAAGCTAACTAGGTACTTAAAATATTTTATATAAGTAATATTAATACTTCGCGGTAGCATAACCTAGGTATTTTAAATATTATTTAATAACATAACCTAAATTAATATTAGCCCTAATAATTTTTTTTTTTAAAAAAATAAATTATCCGCGATCTAGCGCTAGCTATTTTAAAAAAATAATAAATAAGTAATTTATAATATTAACTTATTATTATATTATAATATAATAGCGTTTTTTATTATTATTATTTTTATTATTTATTATTCTTGGTTTAAAATATTAAATAATATTTAATATTTTATTTAAAATATTTTATTACCTATTTACTTTTAAAAAGGCACCTAACTATAAAAATAGCTTTTTTATTAGTTTAACCTAAGTTTAGTTTTTTTAAAATTTTAAACCTTAAATTACTTTTATATAACTAGATTATATAACTTTATTCTAGCTTTTATTTATTTTTTTACCTTGTTTTTTATTTTAATTATACCTAAGTAAAATTATCCTTTTTTAGTATAATATTATACTTTATTAATATTAAAAAAACATAGCTAGTAGCTTTTTTTACTAAAAATTAAAAAAATAAAATTTAAACAAAACCTTAAAAGCCCCTTACTTTTAAAAATTACCTTTTTTTAATTACTTGCCTAGTTATTTTCTTAATAGTAAATCCCCTAAATAATTTTAGATAAAGCTTTTAAGGCTTTTTTTTAAGTAGTAGTAAATAGCTAACTATAAATAATATTTTTTTATTTTATTAATTTTAAAATTAATTTTTTTAGCTTATATTTATATACAGGGCTTTACTTTAATAATAAGTATTTCTTTATTTATAATAACTTATTTAAAGGTATTTTAATAATAATATATTAATATTAAAGCATGCTAACTTAAAACTTATTAAAACTAGTAACTTATTTTATTATTATTTTTTATTCCCCGCCGGGCTATTATTAATTAACTTATAAATAATATATATAATTATTATAGGCTTTTTAAGCCTAATAATATATTTTTTAATTTTTTTTTTACTTATTAAGTATTTTAAATAAAAACATCCTAAATAATAATAATAATAATATTAATAATAATACTAGCACTACCACGCCCTTTATAATTACCCTTTTTAATTTTACTTTTTTTACTTTAACTTTTTTTATTTTTATTATAGCTAGCCCCGCCCTTTTAATAAAAATAAGTTTTTTTTATTTTTTTTAAATAGCTTTTAGTATAAATAGCTAATAACTTTTAAATATACCTTAAATATACTAAGATAATCTTTTATAATAATAAAAAAATAAAAAATATAAATAATTAATAAATTTTTATTACTAGTAATAAACTAGTAATATTCCCTAAGGGGAATTTTTATAGGCCTTATTATAATTATATTTTTTAAAATTTAGGGTTAGCATGTGTCTAGTACTATAATAATAATAATAAGTATAAGCTTATTTTTATTTATATATATAATAATATTAATGTTTTATAATACTTACTTGCTAATAAAAGCTTAAAAAATATAT